GCATGAGATGGCCATATTTTGCCACATGAGACAATCCCCCAAACAGCAGTTAATGACAATTAACGGCAGTTAAGTAGGTTGTGCGAGTAAGGGCTAAATTGATTCAATTGCAGAGTTTAGGAGCTTATAAGCATCAATTAAAGTCTAAGGGCTTAATAGCGATTTTGGGGATTTTGGGGTTAGTTCAGCGGCTTAACTTATGGTTTTGCCTTTTATTTTTCATTGAAGATATTATTTATTTTAAAAAATTAAATATATATTAAAAGTAAATGTTAAATATATTTGTGTAATTTTTTAATATATATCAATGTTTTTTAGTAAAAAATTATGAAAAAAAAAAACTTTTCATCTTTACTTTTGCTTATTTTCATGTATTAATTTAGAGTATCATTTATATTTTTATATAAATAAAAGGTTTTTTTATAATATCAAAAATAAAGAAAAACACAACTTATAATATAGTTGGGTTGAGGGAAATGGAGGTGTAACGCTTTGAAACCCATATTGATAGGGACTTGTGAGTTAGTCTAGCATATAATTATGGAAACCAACTATTATTAATAACTTGAATTTGAGCTTTAGAGGGCCCACGGATTTTGGCACAAAGAGTTGTTAGGTTAGTGGTAGATTCAACCCAGGTCATTGTAAGGAGGGAGGGGAAGATTTGTTGACCAATCAAATTGTAACATTTTTTAAATATTGCAATTTGATTGGTTAAAAAATCTTCATTTCCCCTCAATCCAAGCATACAATTAATTAAACATTTGAAATAAAAATGAGAAATATTAATGTCTTAAAAGAGAAGAAGTTATTACTCTCTTTTCTTTTTTGCTTTTTGAGAAAAAAATTACAAAATTATATTAGTACAATAAAAAAGAGTTCATTAGGGTAATTCAAGATAGTGAACCCTTAGTACATAAACAAGATAAAATATAACCACCAAAGATGGACATTTTTCAAAAACAACAAAAGTTAAAGAAAGTGATATTCCTATCTTAAGAAATTAGGTTAGTACACATATGGCTATCTCTATCCACATGTTGTAATGTTGAGTTAGAACAAATTTCTTTATGAGTTCTCTACAATTTAAAATGTTAGAGACATTGGCAAACAATAATTGAATGATATAAAAAGAGTCAGATTCAATGTTAATTTTAGAAAACTCCTTAGCAACAATAAAGTTAGAGATTATCTTCTATGTCTTAAAGTTTAACACTTACTCTAGTAATAATACATATACTCCTAGCAAACCCCATTATCTAATTGTCATGATATTCTTTGAAGATCCCTCCTTTGCCAATAGGGTTGAGAAAGGCAATCCCCTTGATATGAATGTTTAATAAAATATAAAGGAGATTTATGCCAACAAAACATATCAAGTTGCTTATTAGATAAATCAAAGTAAATAGGAAAATTTGACTAAGATTCAATAGTTTTATAAATAGTAAGAAAAAAGTTATTTAGAATCTTACAAATAAAAATCCTCATAAAGTTTGTCATTCTTTTGTTACTAAATTTCTCAAATAATAAATGAAAACAAAGCAATCTAGGGAATTTTGAAATAGGAGAATCATCCATACATTTATTTTGTGTTTGGTTTAATGGAAACAAAATCCCCTTTCCTTGTTTGGTTAGACTAAAATATATAATAATAATAATTATAATAATAATAATTATTATTATTATTATTATAAAGGAGGAAAAACCTCTCACTTCCACTCATTTTCCCTCCAATTTTTTATCATCCAAATGGAGAAGTTTTTCTTCCTATTTTCTTCCTATCCTCTTCCTTAAACCAAAAAATGCATTAGTGTCAACTCTTAATCAACCAATAAAATAACTAATAGCATTCTTGGTATTCATAATAGGGATGATTTTGTTCCAAATTCTTAATGAGTATGAACATTTTAATTATTAATATGAAGATATTAGTAATGGTAGTAAGCCCCCACACAATCAGAGAGCACTCCCCATCCCCATGGTGATTTATTGAAGGAGAAAAAAAAATCTTCCCTCATATCAATTTACAATAATTTATAAAAATTTACCATATGATTTTTTTTTACAAATATTGTAATATCCCAAAATTTTGTGATATTTTAGCATTTAAGTAAGGGTTTTTGTGAGAGAAAAGATTGTTTTGGGGCCTAATAGTGAATTTTTCGAAACCTTGAGGGATTTAAAAGAGTAAAAATTAGGATAAAAAGGGGTAAGGCTGCTAATTTTTCCTCAGCCACACGGGTCATCTTCTTCCCTGTTGCAGCCACCCGAAAAAAGAAAAAAAAAAGGAACCAAGCTGCCGGCAACAACCTTTAAGAAAACCAGTAGGAAGCTTGGATATTTCTCCTTCTTTTCTTGTTTTAGAACTGAAATTGAACCCATAAATTCCCCCCCTGTTGGGATTAGACCCAACACCCGCTTCGGGCCACATGTAGTAGGCCCAACTCTGCACCCACAGGCCCAAGAGGAGGAGACATACCCACGTGACCAACGCCACGTGGGCCAATGAGATGCTTACATGTACAGATGCGTGTCAGCATTTGGGGCTATAAATACCCCCCCAACTATCTCCATGCAAGGTAATTAATCTCTACGCTTCTCTTTCTGCAATTACTCTTTGAGAGCATCTCTCTCTAGAATATCGAGTATTGCTGACTTGAGCGTCGGAGTGTTTTCCCCGAGGAAACATCCTTGGAAATTTCAAATGTGGAAGCAGTTAAAGACCTCAACAGTGTTGGATCATGAAGCTGCCCAAACATTTGGCACCGTCTGTGGGAAACGTGAACAAGAAGTTGTGTAGCTTAACCTACTGAAAGACAAAATGGTTCGTACTTTTACTAGAAGTCGCCCCCCCAGAAATGAAACGGACGAACAGGAGGACGCTCAACTATCTAGGCTCGGCTTGAATGATTTTAGGACAATGCCGAGAAACCTTTTCGTTGGAGGAGCAGAATAGGAGCAACTTAGCGGAACAGATGATGATGAAAGAACACCAACTAGGTATGCAACCCAGCCTGAACAATTCCAAATTCCAACGGGAAGGAGGCACAGGCATCCCAGACAAGGCAATTCACAACATGAATGACCTGAAAGGTCAACAGAGTCTGCTCGAACTACCGAGCTCGAAAAGAGAACCAGAGTTCTCGAAATGGCAATGGGTAAAATCCTTGCCCGCTTGATTCCTGATGACCCCCTAATTCCTTTGCTAAACAGGGATGCACAACCAGCTACGGTTGTTGCCACTCGAAACTCTCCCGCTCTGAGCAATATAATAGTGCTGACCAAACCAAGTGGAAGTGGGAAGTTAAATAACGAGCCTAGCTCTTCCAAACACAATGAAGAACTGTTGAGAAAGAATGCAGACCTTGAAAGGCAGCTACGGGACGTATAGAAATCCATTGACAAGCTGCCGAGCTCACAGGCATGATACAGAACTCAAGCATGAGCTCGAGCTGCCGAGCTCAAAGGCATGACACAGAGCTCAAGCACAAGATGTCGAGCTCAAAGACATGATGCAGAGCTCAAGCACGAGCTGCCAAGCTCAAAGGCATGATACAAGGCATGATGTAGAGCTCCAGCACGAGCTGCCAAGCTCAAAGGCATGATGCAGAGCTCCAGCACGAGCTGCAGAGCTCAAAGGCATGATGTAGAGCTCCAGCACGAGCTACCGAGCTCAAAGGCATGATACAGAACTCCAGCACGAGCTGCCAAGCTCAAACAGATGATGCAGACTCCAGCACGAGCTCGAGCTACCAAGCTCAAAAGCACAGTGTAGAACTCAAGCACGAGCTGCCGAGCTCAAAGGCATGATGCAGAACTCCAACACGAGCTACCGAGCTCAAAGGCATGATACAAAACTCCGGCACGAGCTGCGAGCTCAAAGGCATGATACAAAACTCTAGCACAAGCTGCTGAGCTCAAACGGATGATGCAGACTCAAGCACGAGCTCGAGCTGCCAAGCTCAAAAGCACGGTGTAAAACTCAAGCACAAGCTGCTGAGCTCAAAGGCATGATGCAGAGCTCCAACGCGATTTGCCGAGCTCTAAAGCATGATGAACTTGAGCACGATTTGCCGAGTATGAGATGCCAAGTTGCAAGCATCCTACCCGAGGTCGAGCTAAACGATATGGAGCATGAGCTGCAGAGATGCAAATATCCTACCCAAGGTCGACCTGAAAGATGTGCAGCATGAATCGCAAAGGGTCAACACCCTCAAAAATGTGTCGACACCTTTTCTGCATCAGTGCCGAAGAGTCCGTGTCGGGTTTTTGTACTTCTCTGCAAATTCTGTTAACGAGATGGAAAAGTGCAGGGAACAGGTTAATTCGATTGGCCTAATCAACATATATGAAGCTCCTCTAAATAAATTCAGACAAGAAGGGGGAGAAATAAGGGGAGTTCTAGATTCTACATTTTACATTTTACGTCAAAGTTTGAAGAACAAGGGTGTAAATAACTTGAGCTTGCCCCAAGACCTCGTCAATAGATGACAGGGCCGAGCAAGATCCAAATCTCCATTTGGTGAGCTCTTACATCAGTGTTTTCCTTGAGCTTGCCCCAAGACCTCGTCAACAGATGAGCAGGGCCGAGCAAGATCCAAATCTACATTTGGTGAGCTCTTACATTAGTGTTTTCCTTGAGCTTGCCCCAAAACCTCGTCAACAGATGAGCAGGGCTGAGCAAGATCCAAATATACATTTGGTGAGCTCTTACATTAGTGTTTTCCTTGAGCTTGCCCCAAGACCTCATTAATAGATGAGCAGGGCCGAGCAAGATCCAAATCTCCATTTGGTGAGCTCTTACATCAGTGTTTTCCTTGAGCCTGCCCCAAGACCTCGTCAACATATGAGCAAGGCTGAGCAAGATACAAATCTCCATTTGGTGAGCTCTTACATCAAAGTTTTATCTACCACTTGAAGGCCCCATCAGTAAATGAGCGGGGTTGTGCAAGAGCCAAATCTCCACTCGAGTTAGGCAAGATCCAAATCATTATTTGGTGAGCCTTTCAAAAGAATTAAGCTGAGATCCTGCATGGATGAGCTGACAAAGCTCCAACAAAGCATGA